CTCCAATGTGAATAAAGCTGCAGGACAACTCTTCCCATCCTCTTTCGGCCAGAGTTCATCTCTAATCTTCAATTCAACTAGGTCCTTTCAAGCATTGAAATGATCCTTTCTTTTATCTTTGTCATTAAGCAGAGTGAATATGATGTTGTCGCAAACATTCTTCTCTAAGAGAGATCTCTGAGAGCTGGCTAAACGTGTTGAAACTGAGGCTGTTTCCCCCCAGGATTTGAGTCCTTCTTTCTTTTGTTTCCTTTGGTCTCTGCTGCTGCTGCTGTTCTTTGTCCCTTTTGTTTCCTTTTGTTGATCCTTTGCGCAGTTTGTCTCTGCTGTGTTTTTCTTGGAGACTGCCTAGGGATTGTTTGTTTTGGTTGCCTCTTCTTGGGCTTCTGTTTGTATTTTCCTTTCCTAATTAATACTATATCATCCTTATAATAAAAACATTCTTCTCTATATGCATAACATCCAAATTGTGATGCAATAGATTGAATTCCCAGTATGGAAGTTGAAAAATATACTCTTCTTCTTCCATTATTCACCCGAGACACAAAATTCATTCCCCCCCCCCCCCCCTACGATTTCTTTTCCTACCACTTAATCTTTTCCCAAATGTAACATCAACATGCTCTAATTGCTGCAAAATCTCTGATCCCGACAAACGTTTTGGGGGATCCCTATCTTCAACGTGTCCATCAAATTGAACCTTATTAAGTAGAAATCTATGGCCTTTATTCAAAAAGGGACGACTACCTATGAAACACCACTTATTACTACAAGGCAAACAAAGAGGACGTGCATCAAAATTACCCAGATAGATTTTGAAGGCCAGGAAAATCACTTATCGTCCACATAAGAGTTGCTCGCATCTTAAAATTTTCATTTTTTGAAGCATACGTCTCCACTCCTTCGCACAAGGTCTTTAACTCTTCAATCATTGGTTGCATGTAAACATCTATATCATTTCCTGATATCTTCTTCCCTGGGATGACACCAGAAAGAATGAAGCTAGTTTGCTTCATACACAACCAATGAGGGTTGTTGTAAGGGATTAGAATGATTGGCTATATACTATAGTTGCTATTCAATGACCCAAAGGGGTTGAATCCATCACTAGCAAGACCGAGTTGCACATTCCGAGGGTCAGAAGCAAAATCAAGATATTTCACATCAAAATTCTTCCAAGGCTCTGAGTCTCTTGGATGCCTCGCCATTCCATCATTTTTTTCCTCCTTTGAGTACCAAACCATGTTTTCAGCAGTCTTAGAAGAAAGAAATAACCTCTGCAAGAGAGGTATCAAGGGGAAATAGCGAAAAATCTTGGTTTCTTGTGGTTTCCTCTTTTGGCACCAACACGGACATTCTTTATCAGCTTGTATCTAGACGTCCCACAAATCTTACAATCTATCATATTAGAATCATCTCCCCAATATAAAACGCATTACTCAGGACAAGCATGTATCTCAGTATAAGAAAGGCCAATAGTCTTAATCATTTGTTTTCCCTCATATCCTGATTTGGGAATATTTGCAAACTCGAAAGCATCACACAACAAGTCAATAAGCATAGACATAGCTTTGTCACTATTTCCACACAAGGACTTATACAGCTTAAAAAAATGATAGTTTTGTGAATTTTGTGCATCCAGGGTCCAATGCTTGTTCCCCACCTTTCAAAACTTGACAAAACCCCCTAGCCTCAACATTTGGCCCCTCATTCAAGTCTGACATTATATCATCTTCATACGAAGGCTCATGTGAAGGGCAAGTATCTTCAAAAGTATGATCTCTACGAGCCCCAAAGGCATTAGTTACCAAGTTGTGCATTAGATTCACATTGTCAGACTCTTCATTTATACCCATCTCTCCTAAGATATGTGAGTTATGAGAGGATTCTCCTAAACGGGACTCCTCGTGGCGGTACCAAACTGTGTACTATGTGGGAAAGGGATTATGTAACTAGTCACCGAACACTACATCTCTTTTCTTCAACTTCTTAAAACCACACTTTCTGCAGGGACATATTATAAGCTCTATGCCAGAGTTATGTGCAAATGCAAAATCCAAAAACTGATCCAATCCTTGTAAATATTATGGTGTATTGCGAGGCATGCCAATCCAAGACTTGTCCATTTAAGAATCACAAATCTAAGAAAGTTTGTAAACATATGCACAATAAAAATCTCAAACAAATATACAGAATTTCATATTTGGGGTTTTCCTGAAACATTACAGTCATTAGGGATTTAGAGAATTGATCCCATTTCATGTTCTGATTCGTTTTCACCTAAACGGGATCCCATTTCATATTTGGAGACTGAGGTATACTAAGAATACAGATGGCTGGAAAAGAGAAAAGAAGAACATACCAGTAAATTTGAAGCCCGGCAACACCATAACCTACTTGACGAATTTCAGACACAATCCGATACTGCTCCAATTCGGACACAAGCTAAGACAGGGGAGTCTGGGAGGACGCCGGAGCTCGGGCAGTTGTAAACAGAACTCCTTCAATGGAAGAAGGACAACAGATACGAGTGCTCGAGACTATTGTTGGAGAATAGATACGAGCCGGCTGGCAAGGACATCAATGATAATCGTTTGATTCTGGCACCGTCGACGAATTCGGGACACCCAAAATGCAGATTGAGCGAGAGCCAGAAACCCAAAAATCGAGTGCAAATAACCCAAAAATCGAGAGCCAGAATTCCGGAAAATCGTTGAATTTGCTCCAATTCCTTCTCGGGGGATTTCAGATCCAAGAGCAAGAAACCTAGAAACCCATTATCACAGTGCAGCTGATAGGAGTTGGAAAATACGAAAATGCATGCGGACAGAGGAGGACGACAGAGCTCGGGCACTTGCAAATAGAACTCGTTCAAATGGAGACGATATGATCGTCATTGGTGACGATATGATCGTCTAGGGGTCCTGTGATATTCTTGTTATATGTTGACGATATGAACGTCACTAGTGAGGATGCTTTGAGGATCGAAGCTCTTACTAAAAGCCTTCATGCTTCGTGTAGTCTCAAGGAACTTTGTTTCGCCTCGTATTTTCTGGGACTGGAGGTGTCGCGCAGTAAGGATGGGATTTCATTGAGTCAGGGCAAATACATTGATGATCTATTGGAGACAGCTTGCTTTAGTGATTGTATTTCAGTTTCTACACCTATGGAGCTTGGTTTAAAGCTTGGCCGTGAGTCTGGGGATCCTTTATCTGATGGTGGAAAACACTACAGGAGTGTTGTTGGCATTTTGATATACTTGACATCCACTCGTCCGGATCTCGCATATGCAATCCAGATCGTCAGCCAGTTTATGTCTGCTCCTCGCAGGGATAAATTGACTGTTGTACATCGCATTCTCTGTTACTTAAAGGGGACGAGAGAGCTTGATATGTTTCTTCCCTCGTCTAGCTCCTTTGTTCTACATGCCTTCTCCGACTCGGACTATGCAGGCTGTGTCGATATTCGTCGTTCCACTACGGGTTGGTGTGTTCGCTTGGGTGAGTCCTTTGTCTCCTAGAGGTGTAAGAAGCAGGACAGGGTCTCAAAATCTTCCACCGAGGCGGAATATGGTGCTATGTCTGATGTTGCGTCGGAACTTGTTTGGCTTCGTCATCTACTTGGGGATTTAGGAGTGGATTGTGATCTTCCTCTCCAACTACATGTTGATAACACGAGCGACATTCAGATCGCCACTAACCTAGTGCTTCATGAACGTACGAAGCACATCGAGGTTCATCTTCATTACATACGAGACTTAGTTCATGATGGTATTCTTTGTCTACTTTATATCATGTCAGAGGACCAGATTGCAGATCTCCTCACCAAGTCCTTCTCGGCTGGTCGACATTTCTTTCTTTCTCACAAATTGATGATGAGAGATCCCCATCGATTTGGGGGAGGCTGTTGAGTGTTGCGTATTGGACTTTGACCCACCCATATTTAAGCTCTACGGGTTGTCTAGGGCTAGCCGAGTTTGGTCTAGGGTTTTACCCTAGTTTGTATATATATATGTATGTAATCAAGCTTGTTGAAGTTAAGCTGAATAAGAGATACAATAGCTTCGGCCGTGGACAGTCTCGTTCATCCTGAACGAGGAAACAACGTAACTCTGTGTGTTGGTTTACGTTTTTGTGTCGATATTTCTATTACAATTAAATTTTGCAGAAGGAAATCAAGCTTTTGTTGGAGGCGGCCAAAGGTTTAATTAATTAATTGAACAGTACAAGAAATGACGAGTGCTTCTATTGAGAGAGTTTCATTTATAGTATTTAACCACTTCTTAACACGTTTCTCAAACGAAATTCAATTCGTGGTCTTTTTCAGTGATCGCTACTTTTTCAACGAGGACAACATTCTCGTGGTCCTCGTCCTTGGTGATTGCTACTTTTTCAGTGATTGCTACTGATATTCAAGCTCTGTGCCAGGGTGCATAATGCTCGAATTTTGGCTGACCTACCTGGGGTAAACTTTGTAGCAATTGAATGCTTTTAGTTGCACTGTTTCTCATCCCTATTCATCCTACCAATCTCTTTCTTATTTTTTACTGCGCGACTGATTGTAGTTCTCTTACCAAAGACTCATATATCAACAAATACCACAATTGAAGTCATAAAATGAATCATGTAGTCATTCTACCGTAAGACAAGTACAACTACTTACATTTGATCATCCATTATTTTGGAACTTTAGTACGTAATCAAATGAAACCGAACAAATAATAATGACGTTCTACAATTTCGAGGCAAAACTTGCACCGGCCAATAGGCCGGGCTCTATGTTGGTTTTCCGTAACGTAAGTACGTAACGGACGCTCCACAACGTGTAAGGCCTAAAAGACGGACGTGTCTCGCGATTACTGCTCGTCACCACGTAGTCGCCATGCAAAACCCGTCACCTCAATCCCTCTTTTCTTATAAAAAGCCATCAATCAATGGTTACACCAAACTTCTATCGATCTCATAAACATATATATATATAGCTAGTCACAAAACCCCACAATGTCGCCAACTAATTCTAACCCGATCAGCCTCACAGCCCTAGCAGCGGCGGCAACGTTCTTTGCCGCCCTTCTCCTGGTTCCGACGGAGGCCTCCGTCCGCACCACCGTGATCATCGACCACGCGGCGGCCGGAAACTGGTGGGGGATGCTAGGCGATTGCCAGCAGTACGTGGTGAACGAAGCGGTGCGCGACGGCGGCGGCAGCAACGGCTATCTGCCGTCAGGGGGAAGGCCCCGCGAGATGTACTTGGAGATGTGCTGCCGTCAGTTGAAAGAGATGTCGACGGCCACCGACGACGCTTACTGCGTGGGTATTGAGAAGTCGATGCGGGAGCTGATGGAGCAGCCACGGACGCAGTTGATAATGCGGGAGGAAGACGTGGAGAGCGCGTGGGAGATCGCCGGAGAGCTGCCCGGGAAGTGCGGCGCTTCCGTCTCCCGCTGCCATTTCAACCGTCCGGCATGGTTTTGAAGAAAAGGAAACCAACTTTGTGCTAGCTAGCTAGCTAGCTAGTAAGTACTTGAGAGGACGTTTGTCGTTTGCATGTGTATAGCGTTGTCAACGTTTGGAAGTTGTCGTTAATAAGCTGCAGCTAGCTTGGTAATAAGAAGTTTTCTTTCTTCTTGTTGTACGTTGTTTTGTGGTGTTCAATAATTAGGCTCCACCTCCAGTCAATACTCGCTCATGTTGTTTATCATGATCCCCAGTACTCGGGCTTGTGAGTCATCTAGCGGAATAAACTTGGGCTTCTAGGGCTTAAACAATTTGGACTTAGCCGTAATTTGGACCGGGCTGAAACAGATCACCCGAACAAAAATGCGTTCCCAGTTGAATGACAAAGAAGCGAACCGAGTTGTGCCAAAAAAATGTGTTAGAACTGGTGTGTCAATCGGTTAGGTGTCGGTTAACCGCTAACCGATATATAAGCAAAAAATCATCAGCATCCACATTAAAGAAACATAGACTGCTAGGGTGCGCGATGTTCACTCTATCAGTTTCAAAGGGGAGTCAGAGAGGATGACTTTTGGGTTCTAACTCTTAAACACATTTAAAACTTTGGGTGGAGAGTTGTTTGCCATAAGTGAAAATTGGGATGTCTGGAATTGCAACTTTGGTTGGTTTTTAACCTTGTGAGTTTCTCCCTTAGCCAAACACCAAAACTATGTGGTTATACTAGTAGGCGGTTATCAGTTATCATATCGGTTAACCACTAATCGATTAGTCGGTTAGCGGTTAACCATAAAGCAAAATACAACTAACCGAAATTGAACCACTAAGAAAGTAGCGGCTATCGATCGGTTAACCATTAATCATAGTTATCGGTTAAAACCGATAACCGATTAACAATTTACCACCCTAGTTAGAACGGATCGGTAAATCGACAAACTAAAGAACAAACATATGTATATGATTTATTAATGTAATGTGTGTTAGCTAATCCACGGGAAAGAGAGAGTCAGCTTTACTATATTGGAGAATATACAAATTACAGAAAGGTTGAGAAGTATATATAGTACTTCTCTAGACGACCTAACCCTAATATAATTTGATAAAGAATAAGTTACAAACAAGACCCAAAATAGAAATCCAAATATGTATAAGCCCATACAACCGTGACTTCCAATCGATGATAGACAGTTCGATTCAAATTATATCAACAAGGAGAAAAAAATTATAAATTCCGAGAGCCAAGTATCAATCTACTCATCCAGACTTCTGTCTAACAACTAACTAGCGTGGGCCCCGGCCATTTGGCCGGAGGAAGGTGAGGTATGAAATTTGATAATGTAATGTGATGTATAGTTTATTGTTGTATAGTTATTTTTGGGAAACACGTGATAAAAATAGTGAATTTTAGTAGGAAAGAGACATGAATGATGCAACGAATCAAAAATCAGCCTTATGAACCAAAATCAAGTACCTGTTACCTTGTGAAACAATATTGTTTCTAGTAATATGATGAGGTGGAGTAAGTTTTATAGAAACCGAATTCCAGAAAATCGAATAAAAAATCAGCCTTATGAACCAAAATCAAGTACCTGTTACCTTGTGAAACAATATTGTTTCTGGTAAAACTCTTTTATTTTATAATTAGTGGTTAGCCCATTAGAATCCATGCATTAGTTTATTGTTAAATTTTTTTCTTTTTAGCAATAAAAATGAGTATTGTTTTTGCCTTTTCATATATATTTTACCACCACGGAGAAATAAAAGGACTTAAAGAAAAAAATTGACACTCCTTGACCCGTTAAATCTGCATGTGTACGATAAGTTGGCCCGTTCCACAGAGGAAAAAGAAAAAAATTGACACTCCCTATTCTACCCTTCCTACAAACGCTCTTGGAGCAGGGAATTTCAAATGGGGGAAGGGTTTTTTCCTCTCTACGATTATATGTTTTTAATTTAAAAAGATACAACAAATGTATTTAGTGTGATTGGTTATGATCTTTGCTTTTCTTTAAAGTGGTCATGGTTCGAATCCTAGTAAGTGTCTTTTTAATGAATAAAAAAAAGTAATTGTGAAGACCAAAATGTCCTTCCTACCTTCACTCTGGATGCAGGAAATTTGAAATGAGACTTCAAATTTTCTCATTTGGCTTTTATTTATTGTGTAGACACATAAAATTGATATAGACTTTGTCCAATAGTCAAGCCTAATTAGCAAATCTTTACATTACACCATTTAACAATGAATGGTGTATGCATGTGGAAAATTCTATGTATTCTGAATGGATTTGGAGTTACAATATATGATTTATGCATAAGGAAAATTCTATGTATTCTCAGTGGATTTATAGTTAGTTACAACATTTATTAATTAATCGAGTAACTAAATCCTATACCCTAACTTCTAATATCTTATTTGATGGATATGGTATGTTGGATATGTCTCAACTAATTAAAATCATTGATAATTGTTGTTATTGTATTTGATCTTTAGGTTTAAGGTGTCAAGAATTATGATATATTATTCCTAAATGAATTACTCATGTTCGTCTTTTTCTCTCTTAGGTGGAAATTCCTAAATATTTTATTTTTTATTATTTTTTAATTATCACATCATCATTTTACCAGTAAAACATAATTGTTGATCGCCACATAGGATTGATTGATGTAATGAAACTAGACGGCTAGTGACAACGAATGACATAAATGTGTAGCGTTGATGGCTAAATTGAAGGGAAAATGGTTCGAGTGGCAAACGTGTAACCAGCATGTAATATGAGTGACCAAGCTTGCAATTCATCGTTAAATTAGCTGAATCGCTATTCCTCGCGCTAAATTCAAATTTTATCGCTATAACCGCAACAAATTGACATATTTACTTCTCAACCCAATTTCAATTCTAAACCATAACCAGACAATCCCTTGATCCCTCACCCACCCAAAACCCACCATCTACTCCCGTCTCCCTCACCCCCAACCCACATTAGCAAAGTATGTTTGTGCAAGAGTGGTTTACCATAATAAAAGAGTAACAAATGCTATTAATCCAAAAAAAAAAACAACAATGTGAACTAATACTAGGGAATAAGAACTCTCACTCATTGCAAAGTAACGCACCTATATTCAAGGAAAAACAGACACATTGCACCAATTACTTACAATTACTCCATAACACAAAGTGATGGAAGCCAACGGGAAAGAAACACAGTACTTAACTGTGATCCTATCCTTCTCTTTCTCTTCCCCAATCTTTTTGTAAACAACTGAATTGCGTTGTTTTTGTCAATTATAGAGAGTAGTAGCGATCAATAAGCAACGGTGCTGTGGGCTGGCAAAGGAGTTCCACCCAAAAACGCCCTGAACAGCTCGAGCGATCTCTCTGGTTGCGAAAATGGAGCTTCGTGGGATGCTCCTCTTATGGTGGCAAAGCTCAACGCATCGCCGTACACTTGCGTCCACCCTCCAACCTGCACAACAAAAAAGAATCGTTCTTTTAGTCCTAACAAAAATGGTGAGAAATCAGGGTGTTGATTGTGCAAAAATTAGGGCATATACGGACCTGTCTGCCCTGAAACCAGGAGCTGTAAGGCACTGTGGTGTTGAGGCCCATTTCCTTGGCCAGTCCATTCACAAGCTTCCTTGTCCCTATCAATGGGATCACTGAATCCTGATCTCCACTGCCAGAAACAAAGATCGGGAAGCCACATCATTGACATTGAGACATTGACTCAATAAGTCATAACACAAACCACCATCATCCAAATTTCAAGGCCAGTATTATGAATGCAAGGAGAATAGTTTTGGGCTCTGAAGGGCTAAGAGGTTTGGGCTTCGACAAACTTTGGACCGGGCTTTGACAAACCTCCCAACACATAAAAGGCTGGGCTAACATCTGAGCCGTCGTTTGGATAGGGCAGTTGACAATGCAGGCAATTGTTTTATTTTACAATACAGAGTCATTCAAAAGAGAGGAATTATTTGCTTTCAAATAATTGCATTTGTCTTAACATGGATTATTTTAAAATTTCTCATATCAAATTGCTTCATTTAATTTTTGTATAGTCGAATTAGACAATTTGACTCAATTGCATCAAAATGAGACAATTAGGTAGAATTGAGTCAATTGACCCACCAAATGTCTAATCCAAATGATAATTAATTTATCAAAATCACTACGAAACTTCAAAATGATCACTTATGTCCGTCTACTCATAACAAAAGGAATCGGTTAGCGTGGTTGTTATTCCTGCTAACTTCGTCTAACTTTCTTTTCAATAAGACAATAAATCCATTTAACACGCCAACAAAGCTCGCTAATCTACTATCGCTCTCATGATTTTAATTTGTGTTCTATTGCCCATAACTATCCAGAACTTAGAAAGATAGACAAACTATGGTGTTTCGAAACCTCCATACATCTGGATGGAACTCAACCCAACCCCAAATCCCTAATCACCAAAACGAATTATGAATTCATAAGAAAGTAAAATGTAAAGAAGAAAAAAGGCAATAATGTATGTACCTGTAAACCAGAACCTTGAGGCCAGACTTGAGAAGCTGGCCAAGAATAGGAGTCGTTGGTACCTCCAAGTTGTCCATTTCATATCTCACCACACTGTCATTTTCAACAAGATATCATTAGGCCCCTCAATGCAAGGGCACAATGTTGGGTTAATCCAAAGTAATGAATCAACATAGAGGGTAATTAAGTTAAGTAAGTTGATAATGAATTACTCGCTGCAGGTGCTCCACGTCCGGACACCAACAAGCCTCCCATGGAAAGCCTTCTGCACATCTTTCCTGTTCAGATACCTAATCGTCTCGTCCTCCACGCACACATCAATTTCCCCTACTCCTGCAGCAGCAGCCCGCTCCTGTGCAGCAACCCCGTCATAATATTAACCGTTGACTTAAAGACAGACGAAGAATTTCGTACAACAAGCTGCACTTACGAGGACATGGGATTGGGACTGGATGGAAGACAAGCAGACGTCGAGAGTGACATCGTAGGCGTCCACGAACTTGCCGATTTCGAGGGAGGCATGGCTGTTGACCCGGAAACACTCTGGCGTGAGAAACCCTCTCTGTAGTTGTCTTCTTATCTGGGAGTAGTTGCAGACTGTGTTAAAGATGTCCAAGGTTGCATCCGAGATTAATCCATGAGACCAGAAGTACTCTGCTCTTGAGTTGAAGTCCGTGTTGAAGTCCAGCAGAGGATTCCCAATCTGTGATTCATTTGCAAGTAGAAGTCGCCGTAGTGTTTAGCCACAAATATAATGTCATAAACCAGTAAGTTTAAATAACTCGACGAAAGTCAATTCATATGGATTTGAAGTTTGCATATGTTTGGATATCATGTAATTCACACAACATATGGGGTTATTGAGATTTAAATTAAAGGCTTATAGATCACAAAGAAAAAACTCTAATACCATAAATCAATTAATCCGAATAACTCTAATTATTAATAAAGATTCAACTATAAATCATATAAGCATTGTACACCAATATACTAAGGGGTCGTTTGGAAGTTGTGATTGTTAGAGTTGTGTTTGTTGAATACATGTATTGTGCACAATACAATGTTTGGAAGAGCCAAAGTGTAAAACAATGCATGCATTGTTTTAGGTAGGTCCCACCAACAATCACAAAAAATTAGGGGTGGGAATCGGTCGGTAAACGGTAAACCGTTTATCGAATTTACCGGTTTTGGTATACCGACGGTGGGCAAACTGTTTACCGTTTACCGATACCGATTTGTAACCGGTTTACCGATTACCGAATTACCGGTAAACGGTTACAAACTGGTTTACCGAATTACCGCAAAGGAAGTGTTGACAAAGGAGGTTTCACTCACTCCCCTCTGATTTCAAACCCGTAAAAGTGAGCTGCGTGCATCAAAGTTGCAAAATTCTTGTTACACAAAACACAATCTCAAATTCAATTACATACATTTGGTTTTGGACTTGATTTTGTTGGCTGTTGTTGACTTGCTGTCTGCTGAGTTGCTGGTATCGCTCTTCACCCTTTCCCCTTCTTTGAAGCTGCGTCGGCGGAGGATTTGCTAGAGCCTGGAGGAGGAACGGCGGATTGAAGCTCGCTTCACCCTCTTCCCCTTCTTTGAAGCTGCGTCGGCCGTCGGCGAGGGAGATTCAGGGCAGGCCATAAGTTTTTGGCCAAAATTACAAACCTACGCAATTTCCCCCCATTCGTTCTTATCGGAACAAACGCTGACGATTCCCCTTTCCCTTTCAAATTTCATGACCGTCTCTCTCTGCCCTTCTTCCCAACCGAGCTCGCATCCCTCTTCCCTCCTGCAACATATGAACCCTACCCTGGGCAATGAGAATTTGGGCGTTCAGGAGAGAATAAGCGGCAGCCCTGTTCTAATTAGGGCGAAATACCGAGGGGTCAGGCGGCGGCCATGGGGGAGATGGGCGGCGGAGATCAGGGACCCCACCCGACGGCGGAGAATTTGGCTGGGGACCTTCGACACGGCGGAGGAGGCTGCTAAGGTCTACGACGCGACTGCGATTCGGTATTTACCGATTTACCGACGGTAAATACCGACCCTGTGTGCGGTAAATTGGAACCTCGCCGTCCCAACCGAATACCGATACCGACGGTAAACGGTTTACCATTTACCGACCGTTACCGGTTCGGTAAACCGGTAAACCGGTTACCGTATTACCGTTTGTCAGCCCTACAAAAAATGATGCATTATACAATCTCAACTAAAAGTTGAGATTGTTGTGATTGTTGGTTTTAGATTTGTGTCAACTTTTTCTTTCCATTTATATCCCCAATAGTTTTTGTCTTATTCTAAAAGTTGAGGGTAAATATGACATTTCCCCATTTAGTGGCTACTAATGCCCTCTCATCGGCAGTTCGGCTAGCGACCGACTGCCGCGTTTGGCTTTTAAATATCTTGTAATACCTATTTTCACCATATCTATGACAAAAAAAAAAAAAAAAGTAGAATCTCAACAACCAAACAAAGTATTGTTAAAATGCATCCATTGTATCAATACATGCATTATTATTATGGTGATTCATTACAATGCAACGATTTAACATTCGCAACTTCCAAACGAACCCTAAATATAAGACGTTGTATGCCGCATGTGTGAACTTTTCCATATAAAAAGAAGTGGAAAAATGGGCCATTTGATAACCTAGATACTTGTTACTTACTGCAATTCCTTTGAGATTGATGGGTGGCTTGGATTTCACAATCAGTTGGGCAAGCTGTGGAACGTAGTGACCTGTTTCCATTTAGGACCAATCAATGAAAACCACAACACACCATCTTCAATTAGTGGGAAAGCTCTGTAAAGATATATTGTCTTCTAGGACACTGACTCTACTGATAACCTTACCAGCATAACTCTCTCCAGTTATGAAGAAATCTCGTCCCCTGTATTCTGGGAACTTGGCCAACCATCCCTTCAAAAAACCCAGATTGTCCTCAGCTGCACTCAGCAAACAAAAGATAAAACTCAATCATTGTTAAACCGTACCAAAAATTGTACTGGAAAAGTTAGCAGTAGAATATTTTGAATTGAAACTGTAGTTTAACCTGTGATTTTATCATTTACAGAGTCGTAGAAAGATGCATTGGCTGAGTAAGAGAACCCAACTCCCGCTGGGGATTCCAAGTACAGCATATTTGCCTCTGCACCAATTCCAAATCAGTACAACCTTAATCCACCTCACTCTGGGTTCGACTGTTAAATCGACAATCATGTACAAAATGGTTACAGTCACTGACCTTTGTTCCAGCTGTAATTGTTTTGTAGCAGAACATCTCCACTGGGTTTAAACGGACCGTGCTCGCAGAAAGCTCCAGCTCCCACTGAAGAACACCCAGGCCCTCCATTCAACCAGAGAACGAGAGGCTTCGAGCCCGGCTCGGTCTCCGCTTCGACGAAGTAGTAAAACAGAGCCCTCCCCTGCATCTTGTCGACTGTGATGTAACCCGAGTATTGGTTGAACCGGACCGCCGGCTGGCCCGGTAGGGTCGTGATCTTATCGGCTTGGCGGGTCGACTCTGTTAAGGTCGCCATTGATAGAGCAAAGAAGACTGCGGATATCATAGCATTGGCAACAACCCATCTCTCTTGCTGCGTCATTGGGATGGAAAGAGGTGAAACAGGGGAAAACAGAGGAGATTTGTTGAAGCTTTGAAGCGGAGAGAAGATTCTGAAATCGCTTTCCCTGTGTTTGAATTGGGAGCTAGTATTTTAATGATGGGTTTGGATTTGTCTGTTGTTTTGGGAGTATTAGGCCATTATAGCAGCTTGTGTACTTTTTTTTTTTTTATAAAAGATAATGTTATACCGATTGAAAAAAATATCAAACAAATTACACCTTGATATATAATCAGAAATACAAATAGAGGGTTTTCCTTATTACCAAATGAGCTAAAAAAGGGTGTACGATAAAGAGAAATTCAAAGACTTTTTTTTGCTTGTAGTTAGCTGTGGAAGAAAGTGGTTGTTTGCAAGTTCTTTTAAGTGCTTGTCTGCAAGTTCTGTTATGTTTTGGAGTGCTGGTCTCTAACTTTCTTATGTTAATTCATTCAACACGGAATAGATTTGTTAATTAGTGGGAGGAGGATAAAGCAATTCGTGCCGTTGCTCTAACTATTCAACACGGAATAGACATTAGTTATGGCAATTTGAACCCGCTCTACGGGTATTACCCGACCTGAACCCACGATAGGGCGGGGCATGAATATCTACTTCCGACCCGACCTGCCCCGCCCCGCCCCGTTCTTGGCTCATTCTATCTCAATTTTTTACAATATCCATACATATTTATCTTGTTTTCACTTTTTTCTAAGCTAGTTGGAGTCGATCTTTCAACTTGTTAGACTCAATTATCCATTCTATTATCACTATTTTTCATTTATAAAGTGTTTTACTCTTCGTTTTATCCTAAAAAGTAAAATTTCCGTATGTTTTTTTTCAAATAACATGTAAGAGTGGGTTGACTCGTCCCGTCCTGTATCCGCACGGGTTTTACTCTTCCCGACGGGAGCGGTTACGGTGAGTACTTTTTTATAGTAATCACCGTGGTTACTAAGGGTAAATTGGGTATGGAAAAATAAATTATATTAATTAATTAAATTAATAAATTACATTTTAGGTAGTTACAAAAATCTATTAATTACAATTCTTTCTCTTTCTCTTTCTCTCACTTCCATAATCTCCAGCCAGATCTCCTTTCCATATTTTTCTCAAACTTTCTGCAAAAGAAAAAACATGAAATCACTACCAATCCATTAGAAAACCACTACCATTTTGAAAAACATCAATACCATTGCAGAAATAAATCTATACCATTATACGAAAACTACCAATATAAATAATTTATACCATTACAAAAGTCAAACAAATACCAAAACAACAAATACCACTACTACTGTGGAATGAAAACAATACCATTGCATAAATAAATCAATACAAACACTACCAAAACAAATACAGACAAACTACCAAAGCATAATGCAAACACTACCAAACCAAATGCAGATAACTACCAAAAAACATAATGCTTCATCTAACCAACACAAATGCAGGTAACTACCAAAGCGTAATGCATACACTACCAAAGAAAATGCAGGTAACCACCAAAGCATAATGCAAACACTACTAAAGCATAATGCAAACACTAACATAATAAAATGCAAGGTAGCTACCAAAACAAATCCTCTACCAATGCAAACACTACCATTCCAGATTACCTACAGAAGCAAAGCTGAACGCTCTCCGGGAAACTGTATTTGATCTCTCTTATTGGGTTCCCGTTTCTGACCACGACCTCGACGGGCGATCCATGGTCGGAACCCAATGCCGCCGTCAGCAATGTCGGAGGTAGATTCAAAAGTGGCGAGGCAATGAAGGGAGGGAGATTTGGGGGGGGGGGGGGCTAGGGATGGAGGGAGGGGGAGGGGAGGTTAGGCGAGAATGGAGGGGAATGGAGGAGGGAGGTGGAGGAGGGTTGGCCTGCCGACCAATGGTAGAGGGGGTTCTCGGGAGGGGGGGATTTTGGGAGGGAGGGCGGACGGCGGGAAGTAGTGGGGGAGGGAGTGTGGTGGTAGGCGGCGGGTTACGTTAGGGTTAGGATTTGATATAATTTATAAAGAAATCAGGTGTGGTATATTTTTTATTTCCAAAATTACCCTAATATAATCTTTATCGTTAATTTAAAAATAGAATAAAAAAGAAATAATGAATGGTTTAGATTAAGGTAGCCACCGTGATTACTAAAAATTAAGTAACCACGCTAACTCATCCCCTTCCCGACCCGTAGTAGCATGGAGCGGGGCATGAGTATTGAGTTACCCGCCCGCCCATTACAATCACTACTACGTGTTATGGAAGGATCTATTGTGTAAATAAAATAGTGAAAACTGAATTTTACTCACATGCTTTTGGCTCTCTTATTTCTTTTTTACAATCTTTTGACTTGGGCTTCTAGAGAGATGCATTTTGAAAAAGTGGTTCAATGTTCGCTTGATAATTATTGAAAATATTTTTAATATAAGAAGTGATGCAAAATGTTTTCAAACATGAAATATTTAAAATAAATACTAGGTTTATTTTAAGCTGAATAATAATTTCCCAAGTTTAATTTAATTATAAAATAATATTAAATCAAAATATGTATAAAATATTATAAATGGAAGAAAATTATTTTATGGAAAACGGTAAGAATTATTGTACTTTGAAAACAATATTTTGCAATTTTATGTTTTAAAATATATTTTCAGATTTTTTGGAAACTCAATTTATTGGCATGTTTGGCTCCATTCGACTTTTCAAAGCAAAAAGAAAAAAAAAACAAACAAACAAAAATCAAATACTTTAACAATTTGGATTAAATACAGATTTTTTTTTACCATTTCAGCTTAATTAAAGAGAAATTACTTGTTGTGGTCATCAACAAATTTGTAGGCTAATTCCATACGCTTAATAAATTTGTTGCATATTTAGACCATCTTCAATGTAAAAAGCGAAAGTGTGGATCTAGTTTTGGCCATTCTAGCTAAATCGAAAGGGATTTTGCTCCAATGATGAGTGTTAGAATGTCATATGCTCATTTGAGCTTTTAGTCCTAATTTAGTTAACGTAGATTACAAAAATTTATTTATATAATTCGTTCATTATTTTTATGCATGTAATAATAAATTAATGAAGACATACATTTTTTATGTAATTATTTTAAGATTTTTGTATATTTTTTCATTAAATATGATGTCATCAATGACATTAATGAGAACACATTAATCCATCTTAAAATAACCATGCACTCTCTGAAGAAAAATAAGAAAAATCACAGCTGTCTCCATTTAATTGCATAATTCCCATATTATTTACTCAAATAAGTGGTAGATTAATATTCATAAAAGGGGTCGGATACTATGTCTACTCCAAAGGGGTTGGTTTTTTGACACCTCCTCCTTAATTGGTCAATTTTTTCATTAATCATTGACAAGTATTAATAAAAGTAAACATAATAAATATTATGTTATTAAATACAAAGTAAGAATTCATTAATTACTTACTTTAAAAAAAATCTAAACCTATACAAAATACAATTCTCTCTCCTATATCTGATTTTTCCTTTCTCAACAGCCTCTGACCACCAAGCTTCCTCTGACCACCACGCTTCGCCGGTGAAATCTCGCCGACAGAATCTCTCCGGGCACCTGATATGTAGTACCACTGCATTGGTATTTGTACCACTGCACTGATACTTAGATCTGACATTTGTACTAGTGCACTGATATTGCTACCAGTGGAGTGGTATCGCTACCACTGCATTGGTAGGGCTACCAGTGCACTGGTACAACTATATTTTGAGTTTAAGTGCAGTGATACAAAAATCAAATTTGGAAATCGAAAAGTCAGATCTAAAAATTAAAAACTCCTAGGGAGGGGCTTGGGAAGGAGTCGGTCGGAGATTGCTGGAAAATGAAGGATCAAAGATAGGAGAGAGAAGTATTAGATAGGAGAGAGAATTGTATTTTGTATATGTTTAGATTTAAAAATACAAGTAATTAATGTGGTGTATTTAATTCTAATTTGTATTTAATAAAAGTATTAAATTTTACAAGTTGCATTTATTATGTCTACTTTCATTAATATTTGTCAAATAATTAATAAAAAAATTGATCAATAAAGAAGAGAGTGTCAAAAACCAACCCTCAGAGGATAGCATGCTAACCGACTCCTCATAAAAGAAATGCAATGATTGATCCCCAATGAACTTATCGGAAACCTTAAAAGAATTAATGAACTTATTGGCTGGAAACCTTAAATCATAAATTGAATTATTTAATACATGTTCCCTAGTCCCTACCGCTCCAGATCTGTTTGTCCAACATGGTTGGCGTTGCGGTAATCCACGATTTTGTGCATGAGAACAAAATTTCCCACGTGATGCCTGACCCAAGAAACTATAGTTTAATTTAATTATATTGTGATGGCGAGTAAAACATCCAATAATTTCAATTTGTTGTAAACAGTACCATAAAGATGAAGAAAAAATTAACCTTCTAGAAGAATGATTAGGCTTTGCTGGTAATATGACCAAAAAAGAAATATGACAAAAAGAATATAGGTTACGTTGGTTTATGATGTTTAGAAGAATACTTAAATGTTAATATGACTCGAGGAACTACACTTAACTTAACTGGTGTAGAATGTGATAATAAGTAGTATTGAGCGTACATTTGTGAGAAATGTATTTAACTTAATTTATAAAAATTTTCGTTGAATAATTTATAATTAAGTAAACGGACAAAGATTTAGTTCAGTGTATTACTAATAATTAATTATTTGTTTATTTAATATATAAAGCACAAGTGAGTTTACTGTTGCTTAAACTCGCTAGCTGATTGGGCGGCTATACATTTTATATTTTGATACCCCAAATTTATTTTTTAATGTAAAATCATTGAACAATTATGTTTTGGTATCTAATCCACCAAAACATAAAAGTATAAATTTAATTTGTAGCATACAAAATGTTGTATTACTCAAGTGTAGGAAAAGATTCGACCATTTTATATTTGCTCATTACGTGAAACATTAAATAAATGATAAAAGAGAAACTACTCTATAATATTGCAAGAGCGATTTTATAAATACATTTAGTACATTTACGGGGTATTAAACAAACTTCTACTAACTACATGTAACAAATATGCGACATCTACATAAGCAAGTGTCAATAAATTGCTACGGTGAAAATGGTTGGCTGTTATATTGACGACCAACTAAAAGAATTGGTCAAAACTTTTCCATCATCTACTTACTCTTCGTTTCATTTTTCACTCGCCTTCCATAATTCTTTCTTTATTTCTTTCTTTGCCTTCTTCATCTAACCCTAATTTTTATACAATTTTTATGTATTCTAATCACAAGTATGAACGAGTTCATACACGACTCACCAACAGTCTAGAGAATTAATAATTGAACCATGAACCACTAACTTTTTCAGCTCAATGTCCAGTCCAATTAAAAATAAATATATATGGTTATTACTTATTAGAAAGTTATCATTTTCCACTATGAGATTTGAAGGCGTGAAATTTTAAGCGAGTTCCAGTTTGTATTCCTTTTGCTTCTCTCTAGAGTTTTTCTTTTTCACCTGAGCTAGAATTTTCGACAATTATACATGGAATGTTTGGCTAAGTATCTACACATATCAAATAATAGTTTTCATTTTCTATAAAAAAGTAAATAATTATCATCTTAAATAGATCAGCATAAAAGGAATTAAGTCTCAACTATGCACATTACAGTTCGGCACCTAAACTTAATAGATCTTTAGATTTATAACCTAATTTTATTTTTTTGGCACATAAGTCCTCAGCATATTGATGGAACATTACATTTTAGTACCTAAAATTTTTTTGTATGACATTTTGGTACCTAAACTTTTAAAGTTCTACAAATAGGTTTCATTTTTTGTATGTGTAATTAAAACACCCTCGAATAAATGGGTATCCATACCCAACTCTTACACATTTAAATGGGTATCCATACCCAACTCATCTACAAACTTCCAAACCCATATATACATCACTCATGCCCTACCCATAATCAATGGGTCTACTTGAGTTTAGGTAAATATCATTTATTAGACAAAAATTTCAGAATTTATCAAATTGGATGTTACCGCCATATATCTATTAGGGGCTTGCTATTTGCTGCCCACTAAAAAAAAAGAAGTATATATGTACATCCTTGGTTAAGAAGTTTCACAATCTACAACATATTCAACTTTCAGAAAACGTATTGAATCAGAAAAAATCGACGCTCGCCGGAAAAGTCGCCGGAAAACCATCGGGAAAGCCCATCCTCGACGTAAACTGCGGACACGCATCCATGAATCATCACTAAGCAGGTGCGTCAATTTTTTTATAGTTTCGAACAATTTTTCCGACGATTTGCAACGAACAGACGGTGGGCCGAAAATTTCTGGCGGCCGGAACCTGGCCGGGCCGAAAATTTCCGACGGCTGGAACCTGGCCGGGCCGACGAAAATTTTCGGCCCACCGTCTGTGTTTGGAATTTTTCGGAAAAATCGATTTTAGGAGTTGAATTTAGCGGTTAAGACTTAAAATTAGCGTTTAGGAGTTGCATTTAGAGTTTAGAAGTTGAATTTAGCGGTTAAGACTTGAAATTAGCATTTAGGTTCACAGGAATATTGACGTGTTATATTGTAATTGTAGGAAAAATGTCAGAGTGGTTACCGGCCGATCATGATTAAACACATGAATTTGAGAATGGGATCCATTATGCAAGTGTGAAGTTAGCTGAGTTAGCTGCAAAAGCAATCGCTCAGGAGTGTGGGTTCTTTATTGTTAGAGGAGCATGGAAACCGAATACTGCTGGACTACATCCTGTTACTGCCCTCTGTATGTATTGCGACAGAAGCAGTATGATCGTTAAGTCTTATAAACCAGACACTACGAAGGAGATGCGTGAGAATATTAGTTCGAAGGGTACTGGTTGCCAGTTTCAGATATGTATTAAGGAAGTATGTCAAGAGAATGGTTCAAACACATGGGTCATAGTGGGAGTGACAAGTCGTGAAACCGGAGCTAATAGAGGGTTTCACAACCATGAAAAGGTGTTGTATCCAGAACATCACCGACACAACAAACAGTTTAGTGAGGCTGAAAAAGAGAGGTTAAGATTAATGAGGAAGGCGGGGGTGAGACCAAATCAACAGAAGACGACACTCAATACTGAAGGGGGTGTGAATCATGATATCAAACAGATGTACAACAGAAATTACAAGACAAGATTAGATGAGATGGGTGAAATGGATGAGATACAGTTTGCGCTTCACGGAGCTGAACAACGTGGGTACCATATCTGTTTGCAAAAGGACTCTAATAATGTGCTCACTAATCTGTTTTTTGCGCACCCGGCGTCCATCCAGATGTTGCATGCATGGTCGTACGTCATCCTCATTGGCTCGACCTACAAGACGAACAGGTATGGCTGGCCATGGGTTGAGATTATTGGGGTATCCCAGTCAAGAAGAATTTCAACATTGCATGTGCAATTATTAAGCAGGAAACAAAGGAAACATATGAGTGGCTGTTGTGATGTATTAAAGGGTTGCTCGGTGATACGGTTTCGAATGTCATTGCGACAGACAAAGAAGGTGGTCTGCTTGCTTCTATTCATGTGGTCTTCCCTCTCCCACATACTGTCCACCTACTATGTTTATGGCACGTCAACAACTGTGTGAAGCAAAAGTTTGAGCAATTACTGGGTGGAATTGCAAAAAGAGAGGTAGCACAAGCGGTATGGAAGAAATATTTCGACAAAGCTGCATGGAGTTGGACTCAGGAGGGTTTTCTTCAAAAGATTAATGAGTTTGAGAGGGTCTGGACACAGAAGAACATAAAAATGGTCGACTACGTGCGAGGTGAGTGGTTGCCTCATCAGACAATGTGGGCAAAGTGCTACACGAACCATGTGTTTCATCTTGGTAATACGAGCTCGAATAGAGTTGAGTCATCTCACTCTTCATTCAAGACTTTCCTTGTGTCTGGTAGAGGAGCGATTGACGCTTGTTTTGCGAAGAACCACAATTACATGGAACATCAGTTTCTGGAAGTGGTGAATGAACTGCACAAGTCACTTAACCGCAATCTGAGTAGGGCAATTGAGCCTCCGTGCACGTTTTTTAGGAGGGTCGTTAGTTGTGAGGCAATCAAACTGATGTTAGATGGGGAGGCGGAGTTGAAGGACAGTTGTGCGTGTCATTTTCAGATGACACATGGGCTCAAGTGTGCTTGCCAGGTTGTTCAAGATAAGGAAGAAGGACGTCAATTCTATGCTCAAGAGTTGCATGTATTTTGGCGGACTTTGGATTATAAAAACCCCCCACGTCAACAACAAGTCAATGATGAAATTGAGCTTCAACGAGAACACTTTAGGCGTCTTACTGTTGAGGTGGAAGAAAGAGGTCCTGAAGCAGTGAGACAAGCAAGAGATGCCATATTCTATGGGCTTCACCCAGCAGAGGACAATGTGAGGGAACCGGAAGTGAATGATAATCCTAGAGGACGGCCTCGAACAAGCACCAGTCACATTCGTTCATATTATGAGCGGTCTCATTCGAGGAGTACTGGGCCTGGATCGAGTGGAGGCAGGGGGCGATCAAGTGGAGGCAGATCCCGATCGAGTGGAGGCAGGGGGCGATCGAGTGGAGGTGAATCCGACGAGCATGATACATGTGAGTAATTGATTAAATATTATAGTCCATCTAGTAGTAATTGGTTTATGTTTGCAAATTTTGTCCAAGTAATTTTGACCGTTTGGTATTGACTCGCTACGACACAACTCCTTACAAAGGCCAAGTGTAACCAATGAAAGGGACTGCAGTATAGTGGCTCAAGTAATAAATATCGAACCCACGGGTCTCTAGAGTTACTATTACTCAGCTTCAGTTCATTATCTAGCAAACCAGATTAAGATGAAAGAACTAAAACTACTCTAGCAAACTACAATTATAGTTAATCTAATTACAGGTTGGGAACTCACTTAGGTATGATTTCCCCTAGCCACTAGCCAGATTAATGATTGATGATCTCTAACCTGTTTCACTTTCATTCACAATGCGGAGAATCCTTAACTAGACCTTGAGTCTCGACTAAAGGAACAAGACCCTCTTGAGTCAATTGCCTAGACGGACGTATCCTTCTCTAGAACAACCGATCAAGGTGTTCTGAACTAGAGTCCCTCTATCAAAAGAGGTTCTCAATCGATACAAAGCAGTGAATCAACCCTCGACTAAAGCAATCGATCCAATACTATCAATCTATGGTGCTCTATTGACCTAATCAGGTATTCGCTCTCATAGGATCAAAGCAGAATCAATAATCTCGACTAAAGCAGAATTGAATCGTGAAATCATGCGTAGATTGAATATGAACTCAAGATTATCAAGTCAGAGTACTCATACAATCATCCAATCAAACAAACATAGCTAGGGTTCCTCAAAACCTAACTGAAGGGAAGTTACTCCATAGAGAAGAGAGAGACTGCAGTAAGAATCTTCAGATGATCAGTCTTCAAGTCCGGGCTTGTTCCTCGAGCTTCCAAGGCGAAGAAATCCTCCAATTCCAGTCTTAGAATGCCCTCAAATCGCCCTCTCTCTCTTTGGTTCGTCCCTTGGGTGTTTGGGATCCAAAACCCAGCTCTCCCTTTCCTTTGGCTTCAATCTGCCTCAAAAACCCAATTCTGAGCAAAATACGGTTGAGGGCACGGCCGTGTCTTACTTTTGCCCGCCCGTGTTTTGCCCCCAGCAGCCCTCACGACATGCCCTCGGCAGTAAAAACACTAGCGGGTGCCAGATAAAACACGGCCGTGTTTTTAGGGTTGTCTGCCCGTGTTTTTACTGCCGAACCTGTTCCCCTATATTCAATGCTTTGTTTCTCCCTCGTCCGGACTCCGAATCAGTCGCCGTTTGATCCCAGAAGCTCGTAGTCTCGTCCTATTTATTTTCATAACAAAATTTCATGATTCTTTGTCCATAAAGTGAGGTAGAAATCCATTCTTCTTCAGGTCATGCCCGAGTTTCTTCTCCCGAATCGCCAATTGATCTCTGATCGACTTGAAACTTGCGTCTATGCTTCACTTTATGTGCTAGGACCTAAAATGTAACAAAGGAACACAACCTAGCGTAAAATAGGCCAAAGAAGCGATAATGCAAGCTCAAACAATCAAGAAACAAAGGGGAAAACATGTGCAAATATCGAGTCATCAGGTATATTTTTGTAGATTACTCATCCCAGAGCCCCCCAGGGCAATATTCTGACCCTTACATCGATGAGCTTTTTCCAGAGTTTGTTCGACCTTTGCTGGTAGGCGATTTCAACCCTAGTCCAGATGGCCATTGTGGTTTTAGGGCACTTTCTCATTGTATTTATGGGGATGATAGTCACTATCTGCTCATGAGATCGACGATTGTCCAAGAAATCCAACATCATTTCTGGAAGTACGAGAACTTGTATAATGGTGGTCCACTAGCTCACATTGACCGCATCAATTGGCTCGAGGCAGGTTCCGCACCACTAGGGTGATGGATGGATTCTGAGGACTTGTTCGTGTTTGCCACCATCTACAACATCGCAGTCATGGTCTTCACATACCAGGTGTTTGATGTCAATAATGCAAACCGTCCACTACCCAACCGCTACGATGATGCCTATATTGTATTGCCTATTGATGCGGACCCAGGTACTTTGCCACCAACCATGTTCTTATCACTGCACTATGTGAACACCACTACATTCGATTGTACTTCAACCAGGATCAGTTTCCCATACCCCCTCTGCATCCAATTTGGCATGGGCTAGCAAATCCTAATGTGGCGGAGTGGAGAGCTATTCTCGAGGTTGGACAAAATTTGTTTGCGAGTCTTGGTGGTCGGCAGCGAGCCAGGCAGAGAGACCCCCGAAGAGCTAGGGGAAGGGGTAGGGGTAGGAGCAATGCATAGTGTTGCGATGCTCTATTTATATGTTGTTGTTTTTCTAGTTGTATTTTAAATGGCCCTAGTGTCATTATGAACTTATGGATTTCATTATCATCATGAACTTATGGATTTCATTATGGATTTCATTATCTACCCTCGATGTTTTAATCATGAGTGTGAAAACATCCGATCCAAACATAAGTAGTCAAACATCCGATCTAAACATAAACATGGAAACATGCAGTCTAAACATAAACATCCAATCCAAACATACATAAGTAGTCAAACATCCGATTTAAACATAAATATGCAAACATGCAGTCTAAACATAAACATCCGATCTAAACATCAAAACAACTAAAAATCCCCTGGAGGGAGGAGTCCCTGGGAGACCCAGTACTCAGTCCACACATCCTGTACTCCGTGCAGTGCCCTGTAGGCTCGTCGTGAATGCTCAAGAAACTCCTCCTCGGTCCCTGCTGCTGCTCGAACCGCAGGTGCAAACGTGTACAAAAGGTCGCGAGCACGCTGCACAAAAAAAAAAACAAGAACAATTGTTAGTTTCACGCTAAGTATATTTATAATAGAGTAACGATCTAGTGGTCAAATCTTACCGCTGTGGAGTCAACTAGTCGATCTGCATCTCCATCATCCCGTAGGATTTTACAATGAGAGTGCGCCACGAACCAGTCAAGATAGTCGATCGTAGTCTCATATGGATACGTCCTCCAGGGCTGAGAGTACATGTCTATATGAACCATGTGGGATAGCAGAGCATCTCATGCAGCATCAAAACTCTCAGGAATCCGAATGACATATCCACCAGGTGCCTCTGGTCAGTCTGCTCGCTGAGGACGCGAAGGGGGAGGCGGTACCATCTGTCGGTATCCAAACTATCGGAGGCAACGGGCTGGATCATAGAACTCGCCTATATCAGCGAACCGGATCACTCCAGTGTACAAAGAGCGACGACTGCCTGATGAGGCCTCTGATGGAAAGGTGTCCAAAACACATCAGAAGGGGTCAAGCTGTCAAGAGCTCGACGGTAGAACGCCAACCTCACACTGGGATCAGCCACAGAACCAGGTGTCGGCTGCCCAATCCATCGTGAAGCCCAAGCCTCATCAGGTCCAACGACAGGTGGCTCAAAGTGAGATGGCCTAAAATCCGAAAAGTACTCGTAGATCCAACACTGCAGAAGTGTGAGACAACCAGCCACCCCCTGGCACCAGCACGAGACGCCTGACCAAGGCATGTGTACAACCAAGCAAGTGTACCTGACGCCCAACTGTACTGATCTATCTCCTCCAACTCGCCCAAAAATAGGTTCACCACCGGCCGAACCCTGTCTCTACTCTTGTCCACAAATAAAGTGGACCCCAACAGCAACAACAAGTACGACTGCGCCTCTGTCACATGTGTCCCGTTCACCTGCAAGTATCTGGACGCCATCTCCGCAAGAAAACCACCCTTCTCGTACCACTTACCCCTATTACCATATCCAGGGGCCTCCGAACGACCACTCAACTGCTCCGAATTCATCCCAAGAACCGCACACAAACCCACCTCAGAATGGTCAAGCTGCGCAGAAGTCCTACTCATCAGTCGTCTCTCAACAGGAATCTGCAGTAAGTACTGAACATCGTGGAGGAGGATCGTCATCTCTCCAAAAGGCAAGTGGAAGGTGTTCGTGTCTGTCTGCCACCTCTCCACAAAAGATGAGATCAAAGCCTCGTCAATCGTTATTTTGCGGAACATAGAGTAGATCAGGTGCTGGAGACCTGACTGCTGAACCAGATCCTCCGCCTCAACATGACTAAACACGTAGCTACCCAGATAATCAACCGCTGATGTACGGCTGTAGCAACTGATGACCCCTCGATCTCCAAGCCCCGTCCAAAGCGCATAGGAAGCGTGGCCACGGAAGCTCCTAATGAGGCTAGGATCCGTAGGTCCACCAGGACACTCACCAACAAGCTCCCACGGTGGAGGACCACTCGAACGTCCTCCCCTACTCCGTCCAATCCCCGAGCTCTCTGTCTCCTCACGAGCAGGTGGTACGAACCGCCCAGCTCGATCCCTATACATAGCAGAACGTGATGTTGCCGTACAAGACGACACTTGTCCATGTCCACGCGTAGGTGGAGGGACCTCGATATCCTCATCAGTATCGTCCTCATCAAACTCAGCCGAGACCACTCTCGATGCAGCACCCTGGTTCCTCCCATGGGAACCAGACGCCCGTGATGCCGAACGAGCAACTACAGTAGGAGCCTCTAGTTCATCCTCCCCTAAATTTGCCTCTGACTGATGTCCAATATCTCGAGAGCGCTTCTTCTCCTTCTTCTTCTTAGGCACCTTCCTTCGTGTTGATGCATCAACAATCGTACCATTGAATCTATGCAACTGACTCCCACTCGCATCATCCATATCTAATTATCTACAAATTTACACAATATCATACTTAGATGCGCACTAATTAATTAAATTTCTATTAACTAATATACTATTAACATTAATTGTTAATTAATCACAAGTTAATTAATTTTCTATTAACTAATGTACTGAATATTAACATTAATTGTTAAATTAATTCTTAATTAATTAATTTTCTATTAACTAATGTACTAAATATTAACATTAATTGTTAAATCAATTTTTAATTAATTAATTTTCTATTAACTAATGTAAGTAATTAAACATGCATACACCTATTAAAAAACAATTATACACTAACTTAAATAAATATTAACACTAATTGCTAATTTCTATTAACTAATTAAGTAATTTTTTATTGACTAATTAATTAACATATTAAATTAAAATAAATGCAAAAACCGGGCGGGCCGAAAAAAAACTGAGGCTGGTGCGCCGCCGGGCCGAAAACTTTTACGCCCGGTGCGCCGCCGGGCCGAAAATATTTTGTGGCCGGTGCGCCGCCCGGCCGAAAATCTTTTTCGGCCTGTCGTCGCCCCGGCCGACGAACACGCCGCCGGAAAAATTTTGGCCGGAGTGTTCGGCGACCGACAGTAAGAAATTTTCGACCGGTGCGAGAAATTTTCGGTTGGGCATCGCACCGGTCGATAATTTCTTTCGGCTCGGCGGCGTTCCGGCGACAATTTTTTTCGGGCCACCGTGTTTTTCGCCGAAAAACTGGAAAACTTGCCGGAAAATTGGAAAACTTGCCGGAAAAAGTAAACTTACTTGTTTTCCGACGATTGAGGACGACAGGAGGTTGGCCGGCGACGGAGGAACGATGCTGGCGACAGAGGCACTGGGCTCGTCGACAAAAGTGTTTTTGTTCGAATGAGTCAAATGTTAATGGTATCCGAATTTATAGAATGAATTGAGGGGAAGGGAAAATTCAAATTTTGAATTCAAATTTTTGTTTTTTTTAGTTGGCGGCAAATAGCAATTTGGTTGGCGGCAAATAGCCGTTCACATCTATTATCAGTCAGTATCATATTGTCAAGTCAAGTGCAGGCGAGGGAGGAACGGTGCTGGCGACGGAGGCACTGGGCTGGTCGACAAAAGTGTTTTTGTTGGAATGAGTAAAATGTTAATGGTATCCGAATTTATAGAATGAAAGGAAGGGAAGGAAGGGAAAATTCAAAATTTGAATTCAAAATTTGAATTCAATTTTTTTTTTTAGTTGGCGGCAAATAGCAATTTGGTTGGCGGCAAATAGCCGTTCACATCTATTATCAGTCAGTATCATATTGTCAAGTCAATATTACTAACAAAAAATTAATTTTAGCCTAATAACACTAACAAAACACCATCACGGGTCTCATAAATACATGTCCATAGACCATCTCCGCCCCGCGACAAGGCGCGTCATCACCACCTAGTTAATATTGAACTTGGAGATTTCAAGTTTGAATTCCATTATCATCATAGAAAAATTCATATTTAAGTAAAATATGAACAAAATCCGAACCCACGGGTACCCTACCTGACCCAACCCGGTCAATGCGGGTAAACCCCGTGTTGACGGATTTTGGGCCGGTTTCGGGTTTAAACCTATTCACTATTCACCGGGTTGGGTTTGGTTTCGGTTTATGTATACATGTTCACACCCATATAATTAATTTTCCAGTATATTTAATATTCTAAGCAACTAATCTTCTTTATGCTTGTGAAGACATGTCTAATTTTTTATTTGTATTTGTGTAGACTGAAGTTGATATTGGGGTGGAGAGTAAAGAAGCTTGATTGACAAGGAGGAAGAAGCTTTCAATTAATCATGTTGTTATGGATAATTTGTGATTTGCTTCAATTTTCTTGAGTTTTCTATATTGGTGTTGAACAATTTGTATGGTTAATTTGTGATTTGCTTGAATTTTCTAGAATGGTGTTTTATATATGGATAATTTGTATTGAGAGATTGATATTTGACTTTTATTTTGATAGGAACTTGTTATTGTAAAATTTTTATGACAAAAACCTTTTTTTTACCGGGACAAAAACTCATGTGTACCCATGAATCCGCGGATACCCAGCGGTTGGGCTGGGTTGGGTTTGAGTTTTCCAGACCCAATGAATTTTCCCCTAGGGTTTTTTTCACGAATAAATCTATGGATTTGGGTTTGGCAAAACCCGACCCAACCCGACTCATTGTCATCCCTACTATGACCACTAACTTTTTACATCACATTTTTTTCCCCATACTCTGAGTCTAGGCATAACAATAATAAACTGTTCATTTTTAACATCATGGACCTTAACTATATGACTATAGTTAATGGTTTCTACGAGTTTAGCTTTCTACGTTTCATATAAACATGTTGTTCTTGATGTGGCGTACCTAGGGTTTCTGCCTTGATGGTGTTGGTAAATCAGAACACGGTGGAAACTGTTGTGTACTATTACTGACACGATATAGGGTTTATATAGAGTACAGAGACTGACTTATATAATAACCCTAACACTGATACGGAAATTACATAAATTCTACAACTCTGATAAGGAATATAACTATGCCCAATTACATAACAGTACTCGTAGTATAACATAATACTACTCGTACTACACATGCTCTAATACCCTCCCCAAATTGATGGTAATAACTTACCAACAATTTGAAAACCGAAACAAAAACTAACACAAAAAAAAACTATAACTATGACACTGATAACTGCTACTAGTCCCAAATGTCGCGCCACGTCCCACAAAAATGTTGATGATGATGACTGGATGGAACTGGATCTCTTGCCAAAACTGCCTTGTCATTCCAAACACTGGTCCTCCAAAGAAGCTCCAGAAATTGACTATCATGAAAACAAACCAAAGATGCTCCGAACAGCATCGTCGAACCAAGAAAACCAAAACCATGTATACTCCGAACACCAATACGGCTATCAAGATGCTCTGAATAGCATCATCGACACATAAACAGAACTATGTGCTCCAAATAGCAACATGGTGATCAGGATGCTCTGAATATCATCATCGAAACAGAAAAACATACCATAAATGCTCCGAACAATATTTATCAAACAGAGATGTTCCGAACAACATCTTAAACCAAGGTGTTCCGAACAACACCATAGAACAGAACAAAAGCAAGGTTCTAGATTTCGTGAAGGACAAGTCGGCAACGAGGTTTATGAGAGCGGTGACATAGTAGGGGTTCAGACGCCGTTTGAACCAAATAACCCATCCTGCGCCTCTGAAACTTGTTGCCGGGACATAGAGGAGATGGGATTTTTGGGGCGGATCGCTTCCGCTAATTTGGAGAGGAGGGCTACGAATGCATTTTTGGAATATCGCTATGACCGTGTCGTTGCCCTCTTTTCGGAAGCCATAGCTCTTCAACCATGCTCTGATACTATGTTAGGTAAATTAGAACACGGTGGAAACTGTTGTGTATTATTACTGACAGGATATAGCGTTTATATGGTTCAAGATAGGGTGCATAATATGGTTATGCACATGTTATGCACCAATCAATAACTAAATCTGGACCCTTCATTCAAAAAATCCATATCTAAGGATGAAGAATTAAAGGTTATTTTTATCTTCCCTTGTTTTCTTAATCGGCTCATATCTTTTTCGTTTTAACTCGGATTTCAATTTTTTTGCACAGATGGAACGAGTTCGTTGTGCTCTACAAAACGATATCTATTTTCAATATTTTTTTGGGAAAAAAAACTCTTGCCTCTCGGTACCAACTGCATACCATATGGTATCTTCTTCGTTTTTAATTCGTTTTTGAGAAAGTTTGCACAGAAGGAATGAGTTCATCATGATCTATTGGATCTACAAATTTCTGAATGAACAAATTACAGGACCAAAAAATACCACACAATACCACAAAATACCACCCTGGTACGGGGTGGTATCTTGTGGTACACAATGTTAAAAGTCATAAATGACAGTTAATATACTTCTACTATCATGTATTCAACCATCCTACAGTCTTGGTTTGTTCATACCACCATGGTATGCTTTTCAAACCATAGGTATGCTCTTATTTCAATACCAGTCAATACCATATGGTATAGAGTATAGACTGGTAAAAAATGACTCAATTTTTTTTGTTCGAAAAATATATCAAAGTGGATATCATTTTGAAGAGCACAATTAATCCGATCTAAATGTGCAAAAAAATTAAATTTTGACTTAAAATGAGCACGAAATCGTCCGTCAAAGATTAAATAGGGGAAAATTAAAGGCTTTTCAGGAGAGAGAGAGATGCTGACGTCATGCTGATGTGGACGAGTTACTCATGGTTACTCACCATAAGGTTACCGACCTGATCCGCTCCCCGTTTATATATAGTATAGAGACTGACTTCTATAATAACTCTAACACTAATATGGAAACTAAATAAATTTTACAACTCTGATAAGGAATATAACTCTGCCCAATTACATAACAGTACTCGTAGCATAACATAATACTACTCGTACTACACATACTATAATAGATGGAAGCCAACTAGCCCCTCAAATGGAGGGAAGTTTAAGTAGCTCGTTGAAATTGGTGGTTTAATAAACACGTAATATATAATTCAAGTATTTGAAGAATTCATATATATTCATATATGTTTGTTGAGAGAAGGATAAAATACTTCGGGTGCCACTTAAGTTTGAAAATTATGGTAGACATACCACTTAAATTTGAATAGGGCGTCGGGTACCACTGAACTCTATTATATGTGCACCCGGTACCACTTAAGTTTACTGTTAAGTGCATTTCGTTAAAGTTGACAGAATATTCTTTGAATATTCTATTTTTTAAATTTCATAATTGGTCCTTCTACTTTTCTTATTGTAAAATAATTATTTGGACTTATGAAAAATATCATTTTTTATTGTTTAGTTAAAATTCTCTTTTGAATACTTGATATTAAACCAATTTTTGAATAGAAATTTTAGAATCAATTACCATTATAATTATTTTCAATTATCATTATGTATTCTAATAATTGAATTATTCCATGAATGTTGTAACTAAACAATTTTGTAGCTTTCATAGTCATATTTTCTTTTTTATATTTTTTACCGAATAGTGTAGCTTTTATATTTTGTTTATTACTTGGTTACTTTTCATTTATTTTCATTCTAAATTTTTTCAATTAGTGAAATAAGTTTAATTCGTTCTTATTGTGTTTCATTTATCCTTTTTTTTTATTTTGACGTATTGATGATCGATTAGGTTCTATTTTAACTCTTTTGTTTTGGTGAAACTATTTTAAATATTTCTAATGGTGATTCTAATTGAATTAGGGTGTTTAAATAGATATTCTAATATTTATTTTAAATATTTATTATTATATTCTAGCATATTTATTATTCTTCTTGATAGTCGTTTACTATTTTATCTATTTTATAAAAATTTGATTAGTCATTCTAGTAATAATATGTTTAGAAGGTTTTCTAATTATTATATTAGATAAAACTTGCTGAAATATAGTTTTGGATGTTTTTAAAAGTTTGGGTATCAAAAAGTAATTAAAATTTTGGGTTGGATGGAAAAATAGACGGATGCACTTTTTGTCAAATTTAATGGTATCCGACGCCCTATTCAAACTTAAGTGGTATGTCTACACCAATTCTCAAACTTAAGTGACACCCGAAGTATTTTACCCGTTGAGAGAACTTGTATAGTATTAGAATGCATGTTTGTCGTGCAATGAATTCATGGGAAGACCCACATAATTTGATATGAAATTAAATAATTTTGAGTGAAAAACCATGAATTCTGAAACTAATATCTTGATATTTGCCCAAAATGAAACAAAAACAACATAATTTCAAATGTCTTGTAATATGAAAATTAATTGATAGATGAGCTGATTGTCAAACCACCACTAATCTATTTTAATGTAATATATATAGTGGCTACTTCGGCGCACTCACTCTTTTAGTGCACCCAACTCTAAAAGTGTTCATAATACATCAAATCATGAACTTTAATTAGTACAATCAATCTAATATGATGATACGACATATAATCATAAAAAATCAATCTATTACCCTAACCCCTTAACCTTCAATTTTGAATTCCAACACAAAATCCCAAATTGTAACCTAAACCCTAACCCTAAAATCCCTAAATCCTAATCCTTCGAATTAAAGTAAATTTTGAATGAATTTTTTTCAAAGTCATGTGCTTCTTGTTCATAATATCATAAGCAACAATTAATACCGTTTTGACATGAATCGCATGCTCAAAATGACAATTATGAGGCGGGTGCACTGAGTGCACCCGAAAAAGTGGGTGCACCGAATACGCCACTATATATATAAGGTGACGTCTTCAGTGCACTCGCTTCATAACCGTCATTTTAAACATGCGATTTATGTCAAAATGATGTCAATCATCACTTATGATGTAATGAACAATAACGCACATGAATTTGCACAAAAACCATTAAAGATTTACTTTAATTTGAAGGATTTAGAGTTTAAAGGTCTAGGGTTAGGGTTTACAGTTTGGGGTTTAGGGGTAGAACTCAAAATTGGAGGTCTAGGGCTTAGGGTAATCCACTAATTAGTTGTTATCATATGTCATATATCACATTACACTAATTCTACAAATTAAAATTCAACTCATTAAGACTAGTTTTTGAGTTGGGTGCATTGAACGCACTCATTTTTGTGAGTGCGCCGAAGTAGTCGCCATATATATATATATGGGTTAGACTGGCGTACGTCAGACGTATACTATACGTCAGGTACTACTAGTGAGATATCTCTATCTAGACCATGAATTAAATCGAGTTTGGGGTATGATACTATACCCTAATCTCTAATGGATAAACCCCAAGCACCGATTTTCTAAACCCCAACCTCTAATGGATATATATATATATATATATATATATATATATATATATATATATATATATATGGTGATGACTGG